AAAAAATTGTATACAGAAGAATCATCTGAAAAAATATGTGCCAGTGGTATCCTAGACTCTCATATACTTACCGAGAATGATACTTTTGACGGATCGATTTTCTCTCCAAATAAACTCTCAAAAAGCTTGGATGGTACCATAACAGAGACAGGTGCACTTCAGGATGAAATGAAAGAAACGATAACGCAATTATCATCCCAGCTAGAAAGCACGCAAAACGAGTTAGATAACATCATAATCGAAAATAACGATCTCCATAGACAAGTTAAAAAACTAACTACTGAAAATAAAGTACTTAAATCACTATGTCATCCATCCTCAGCCGAATTGCAAAATAGCTGTAGTGCAACGAAAGAGAAAAGATATTCGGAGCTCTTTCACTCTACGTTCTCTACACCGTCGTCCCCAATCATTGCGACAAAAGCAGACCGTAATTTGACAAATATGCAGCATAAAATTACAGACTTGCAACAGCAACTACAGGACGCATTAAAGGAGATTACAAGGCTTACAAAACAAATAGATAATCTCACGAATAAATTACATGCATCGAAATCAAACATGAACACCCGTTCCATCACGTCGGATGTACCAAAACCTGAATCCAAGAGAAATATATTTATATATGGAACTCAGCAATGTACTGGATTAGCTTCTACTATCATACGTTCGAGAGAGACGACCACCTATGAAAAATATGAAGTTACCGCGGAAACGAAACCAAATGCACTGAGTCGGGAGGTAGTGAAGAACTGTAGAAATATGAAATTGAATAATAATGACAAACTTATACTATGTGTGGGCGAAAATGACTATAATATGCAGGCCGTTTTAATGCAATTACGTTTCTTATTGAATAAGTTTAATAATAATCAGGTTATTATATTAAGTGTGATAAATAATAATAAATTAGACTTAAAGAAAATTAATGATAATATCAGTATGTTATGTAATCAATACAAAAACTGCAATTTTGTAAACTGTAATTATTCTAAATTATCTGACATTTGTAAATCAATTAATTATATCATTGACTGTAGTGACTATGACAACAAATATTTAAATCTAACAAAACTTAAAAAAAATATTATGAGTAACAAATCAAATAATTTAAAGAAAACTGCTTACATTTGTCACAGACGGGGAACAATTCCATATTATTTTCAAAAGAAAAATGACATTGTAGAGGTAAACAGAGACAAAAGTTGTGAAAACTGTACTATAAAAACAGCAATTGCAAAAATAGGTACAATTCCGTATTATTTCCCCTTAATAAAAGAAAAATGTTTTCGTAAATAAAAATGTAAATGTAAAATTACCAAATAATAGTTTTCGAATTATACACCAAAATATTGCTAGTGCTCTATCAAAACAAGAGTTGTTGGAATTGACATTATTAGAGTTAAAAGAAATAAATAAAATTCCAGATGTAATATGTCTATCAGAAACGTTCTTAAAAAAAGGATATGAAAATTATTTAAAAATAAAAAATTATGAAATAGGAAGCAGTTTTTGTAGGGATAAACAAAGAGGTGGAACATGCATTTTGGTTAAAAAAGGATTAGTTTTTAAGGAATTAATAAACGTAAAAAACCATGCTGCAGAAAATATATTTGAAGTCTGTGGATTGGAACTTCCTTTACTCAAGTTAATAATAATTTGTGTATATAGAACACCTCAATCTGACCCAAGCCTCTTTATTGATAAATTAGATAATCTACTGCATGATTTGAATAAATTACATGACAACTCAAAACTTGTCGTAACAGGCGATTTTAACATAAATACTTTGAAAAAGGGAAAGCTTACAAATGACTTATATGATTTAACGTATAATTATAACCTAAAAATTCATATTGACATCCCGACACGTAAATCGTCTTGTATAGACCATATTCTGAGCAACGTACCAGATGCTACTGCTTCAGTATTGCCACTTTATCTCTCTGATCATGACACTGCACAATTGTTATGTTTTCCGGTAGACTGCAAACCGTTAAATAATGCAACATATTTTATCTACAAGAGAGATTATAACTCAGACAATATTAGAAAATTTAAAGAATGCTTACATAGTCTCTCCTGGTCAGATCTTTATGGTGAAACAGATCTTAATAAAGCATTCAGTATGTTTCATGATCTTTTTTGTTTGATATATTATCTCTGTTTTCCTAAAAATAAAATAAAGGTGAATAATGTTAATAAAAACAAACATAATTGGATAAGTCGAGGTTTAAAAAAAAGTTGCAAATATAAACGGACATTACGGTACAAATTCTATAGATGTAAAAACAATTATAATAAAAATAAGTATACTACATATGCTAATATTTAAAAAAAATGTATCTTTAGCTCAAAGAAAATTGCAAATATAAAATACATTAAGAAAAATGATAATAAATGCAAAGCGACATGGACTGTTATAAAAAATGAAATCACAAATACAAATATAAAAAAAGGTATAGAAACTATTAAAATTGGTGATACAGTAATAACAAATCCTATAAAAATAGCAACTGCATTTAATGACCAGTATATTGATCACATAAGCAGCACAAAAAGCAATAACATAAATAGTAGTTACCCTAAAAATTCAAGAAATAACTCTATGTTTCTTAAACCAATGACAGAAAATGAGGTTAGAGTGGAAATTCTGACATTAAAAAATACTAACTCCGAAGGTTATGATGAAATTAATACAAAAATAATAAAAGCATGCACAGATGAATTGGTTGGGATCTTAACACACCTAATTAACTTATCGTTTTCAAGTGGAACTTTTCCAGATTCTTTAAAATTTTCAATTGTAAAGCCAATATTTAAAAGCGGTAAAATGAATGATATTAACAATTATCGTCCGATTACGTTAATTCCGATTTTATCCAAAATATTTGAAAAATGTATGTATAAGAGGCTAATAGAGTTCAGTAATAAATATGATATTATTAGCAAAGACCAATATGGCTTCCAAAAACGGAAATCAACAACATTAGTCATTTATTCCCTTATAAAAATAATAATGACTAATGTCAATAATAACAATTGGACCACAGGATTATTTTTTGACGTATCAAAGGCATTTGATTCTGTTTCACATGACCTTTTATTAAAAAAATTAGAAAATAATGGAGTTAGGGGGCCAGCTCTTCAGTGGATAAAATCTTACTTATCGCACAGGCAACAACGTGTTGTATGTAATAAAATAGACAAAAATAATAATATGACATCGTACTCATCTGAATATAGATTTAATAAATATGGAGTACCGCAAGGAAGTGTGTTAGGCCCAATATTATTTTTATTTTATATAAATGACATTACAAATATATTTGACCATAAATGTATCTTATTTGCAGATGATATTTCTATCATTGTGATTACTGATAGGAAAAATAATACTATTATGAATCATGAGAATCAAATTAACAATACAATTGACAAAATAATAAAATGGACAAGTCTTAATAATTTACGAATTAATTTTAATAAATCTAAATATATGCAATTCAATAAATCTATTAATAATACGAGTTTGAAATTAAAAGTTGCGAACATCGAAGAAGTGCTGCAAACAAAATTTTTAGGAATCAACATAGACCAAAATTTAGATTGGAAGTCTCATATCGCATACATTTCTAAAAGGATTAATACTTTCGTATACGCTCTTAAACGACTTAAAAACGTAACAAATATTAAAACAGCAATCACAACGTATAATGCATATATACAATCAATACTACGATATGGACTCATAATGTGGGGCAATAGTACGGAAAAAGATAGAGCATTTCTTGCCCAAAAAAAATGTATTAGAGCATTGTATGGTCTTTCACCTCGCGAATCGTGTAAGCCGGTATTTAGGAAGCTTGGTTTGTTACCACTACCGTCTCTATATATTTATGAAATTTGTATGTTTGTACACAGCAATAAATATTTGTTTAAAAAAGCTACTGATATATATCCACGGAATCGACGTAATCCAAATAGACTCGTGCTGGATGACATTCCTCGTCTAGCTAAATATGAAAAAAGTTGTTTAGCTATGTGTGTAAAAGTATATAATAAAATACCGACTGAATTAAAATTGTTAAATGTGAATTTATTTAAAGAGAGATTGTATACTTGGCTGAATATAAATAGTTTTTATGATGTAAAAGACTTTTTAAACAAAAAACAAAATGTTAATCGTTAACCTTAAATGTATTTTTGCATGCTATCACCTTGTTAGCTAAGCACGAATGTTCTTTGACAAATGTAACATCTTTAACTTTACCGTGTTTAAGCAAATAAAGATTATTATTATTATTATTATTATTATCTGGCAGAAAAGATTATTTTTTTCTCGGAAGTTGTCTCGTATTTTCAATTCACAATCAAGTTTTAATGTGACAAGAGATACTACTCGTATTTAATTGTAATCGCGTCGCGTTAAGTCACGATCATTCGTTTAAAATATGTGTAAACAGCGCAAATGTTTAAAATTGACAATAGACATATACATCTGTAGATGTACCAATCAAAAAATGTATATCAATGAAAATGGCGATCGCTTTTAGTAATTCTAACAACGAATAGATAATTTCCAATCAATTCTCCAATATTAATCAAATTAATCAGTCCAAAGAAGCAATATTAACAATTATAATGTTCAGTCTGCCCCTTCATTCAAATATAAATCTAAAATATTGTATTTTACTTATTTTTCAATTTAAACTTTCAGAGTATAAACTATATATTATGGCATGGGAATACCATATCATAATGTATATTTAATACTTTATTTAATTTTAATTTATTTTTTTAACTAAGATTATGGATTTACGTACACAAAAATAATAAAAAATGTATTATTTTTGGTTAAGCGTTTGTAATGAGGTACTCCATCTAGATCTATATTATCTACCTTCCTTATGACATCTTATTACAATATAAGTTTCTATAAAATACGAGTACCCTCTTTTTTCTATAATATATTTCTTTTTCGATATTATAATATTTGGGTTCACGTGGAAATAACAATGTAGTTCATTTTGCGTACTACTTAGATAACTATAACAAGCCTATAAGAATGCTGCCTGTCCGGAATATATTATGAAGTCGGTATTGCTGCTAACATGATGCATCGTTGAACACGCTTAAGAAATCGTTGTCAGTTGAAAGTAATTTGGAACGTAACATAGTGGTGCCTTATGTATTGTTTTAAAGTACATCTTTACGTTTTTAAATATTTACTCATATTTGCAAGTTGATTCGAAATTTATAAAGTTGATGTGAAAATTGTAATAAAGGTTTTTTTATTGAAAAAAAAAAATACAATTTAAATTAGGATTTTTCTATATATTTTTGGAGTGCATTCGTCTAAGGTCAGTACATATTATGTTATTTTTTTATTATTTAAAATTGTATTAAAGTATACACTTATATTACATTCCATACATTTTATGGAAAATAAAATCAAATAGGCACCTAACATAAGCATAATTTGATTATTAGTTTAATTAATCATATAATTAACCATAACAGTAACTCGACATATGGCTCTGATTACTCCACCATGTTTTACAGACGCGAAATAATTTATTTATTTACTCTGTACCACTTTGTTTTCATTAATTAATTTTTGATCTAAATCAAACGAAATTTATTCACATAATAAGGTATACAGTTGTTATTATTATGGACTCAACAAACGTCACATTATAAAGATTTTATCAACTGATAAATAAATTTACTACATAAATATTTATTTTATAAAAATAATGTTAATAATAATATCGTTAATTGTAATCATTACCATTTAATTAAAAGAAGCTAAACTTTACTTTATGTAAATACAATTTTCAAATAACACAACTAATAAAAAAACATAATAACAAAATAAAGCCTGTGAAATTTTTGGGTACGTCATATAATTTTACTGTATATAAAATAAGTATATTGAATAAAAAATAAGAAAAAAAAAATATAGAAAACATCGATGAGTATTATTGGGTTATATCGAAGGATGAACAAAAAAACCCTTAAATATTAGATTTTACTTCCTACCTTCATTGTTATTTGGTTTTTTTTCAAGGTCCCAATCCTTCGTATGCATTGATGTATTGTTTTTTCCTAGTCGCCTCCTGCGTCATCTTGGGGAAACATGGAGGTGATATATTTGTATTCTTACTCTGTCACGATAGTCAGGAAGGACTATTAAAATAGTTTAATGTACTTAAGTCTCTAAGGAAAAGTATTGATCTACGGCACAAAGCAAAGATGTAATTTATTTGAAGGATAAAGAGTACCTGTTAAATCAGGTCACTACTAGTGAGATAAATAATGCGCAATAAAAAAATAAACTACATACTTAAAAAAAAATTTTGATCTGAGATACGAAGTAAAGATATAGTAATGTATATGAAGAACGAAGGGTACCTCTGTTAAATTAGATCACTGGTAATGAGGTAAATAATGTATAATAAAAAATAAACAACATACCTAAGAAAAAAAAATATTTAAGATACGAAGCAAAGATATGGTAATTTATTTGAAGATGAGGGGTATCTGTTAAATCAGTAACTACTAGTCAGACAAATAATGCGAAATAAAAAACAAACCGCCATGTTGTCCTGGTATAGATCGGGCCACCTTCCTATCTCGTGGATATCGTAAGAGACAACTTAGGGATTTTAATGGTCGAGGTATGGGCAGCAGTCTACCTATCTACAGTTGCTAACCCGCCTGCCAAGCATGGCAACTGTTGGCAAAACCCCCTTATAGAAGAGACCTATATTCAGTAGGAGACAGTTAACTGCTAATATTACGATGATAAAGAAACAAACAAAATACCTAATCCATAATTTTATAAATACAGGGTTTTGTAAATCAAAATCATTAGCGGTAAGTAAAACCCGTACTAATCGTAACTAAATCTATCCGTGATAATGAATATTTCAACAGAAATTTTATAAATCAAAAATCAAAAAACAACAAATAGTATGAGTGTTCCATACCTAAGATATAACAACTAAACACGCCATGTCGACATAGAAGGTTAAAAAAAATTTATTCGTTTTTCGACGCAAGTTTATTTGGCGGAAATAGAAAAGTACTCTTTACCGTTTCCTCCAAAATGTTAAATTAGTAAATTATGTTGATTTTCCGAAAGAAAAAGTAGCCTATGTTCCTCTACATCTTACATAGCACTTATATGTATGCCAAATTTCATGACGATTGGTAATTTTTTTAATAAATTAATTAGTTAATTGACTAAAGTCTCTATGAGGTAACAAACAAACAAATTCCCTTTCATATTTATAATAATAATAAAGTTATTAAAGATAAGGTATTCTTGTATATAATCTGATATCTATCTATCTACCTATTTAAGAGCTGCGCTCTTGTCGGTGGAGCTCTTGCCAAGATATATACAGCATATATTTATAAGTGACGGTCATAATAACCTTTCTTTCAGATGGGCCGTCAAATTATTGGTTAAATTACATTAAAATAATTAAATTATAAAACATTAGAAGAAAATTATTTATTAATTACAATAAAAAAAAATCTTCGAAATTTTTTAGATTTTATAAAAATAATAATATGCTTAATAGTATCCATACTAATATTACAATTTTGAAAGTGAGTTTCATTGTTTGTTATCTTTTAGTGGTTTGACGGTTTAATCAACGGCTATGAAATTCGTGTACTATATAAGAAAGAGAAGGACATAGAATACTTTTTATCCCGGTTAATGAACATTTATCAGACACGCAGACGGAGTTGCAGATAAAAGCTAGTATGTAATTAAATCATTATAAACACTAAACGGAGATTTAAGTGTTTCGTGATTATTTCACTGAGCAATTATACTATTAGTACATACATCCTTTATGCCGGTTGTAAGTAAATTTAATATCTGATTCCGAGCCAGTTTCCCGGATATTGCTACAACTTCGTGTCAAAATAAATTGAGTAATATAATGGTACTGGGGGAAGAGACTGTTAGCATCGTCCCCGTTATTAGCAATATATCGTATCAGGTTGACTTCCACGCAGTCCCTTTGGTAAGCATCGTGGTTAATTCTTGTCGAATTCATTACAATGGAATAACTAACCTGTCCAGCGTAACGGTGTGAAGGTATTGTTAGCAATGGGGAATAGTTGCTAACAATATACCCTATCAGGCCGATCTCCATGCGTTTCCTACAGTATAGAAACTACCGTGGTTAATTCTTGATGAATTTGTAACTATGAAATGAGTTGTCCGGGCTTAGTAATTTTAGCTGTACCTTAATTGATAGATTGCTATCAAGACAAACAACTTTATAAATACAGATAAGTACTAGCTATATCCCGTAACTTGATCCACGTAAATCAGTATATATAATATTCTATATGCTAAGTTAGGATATAACCTGCCTGTGTACCAAATTTTATTTAAATCCATATAGTAAATTTTGTGTGAAAGAGTAACAAACATTTATTCATCTATTCATTAATTTATCATTATAAACTTACGCATTTATAATATTAATAGGAAGAAACTAAATAATCAAAGTTCTTTAATTAAATACTATTTTCTTCTTTGTCTTGTATATTTGTTTGTCACGTCGCATCTATAAACAATTATACAATAAATTATCTTAATTCAAATATATTAAAACTCTTCCAAAGTTTATATTTATTACTTATAATTTTTGTTGGACTTTAAACCACTAGCGCAAGCGGGGTTACCATTTCATTTCCATGCATTTTAAAAAACTAAACCGAATAACTTCAATTTAGTTTATTTAATTGTTAACGACCATTTTAATGGAATAGAAAAGGCCTTAACTTTGCAACATCACGGTTAGTTAAAACTTAATAATACCAATTCCAACTAATTAGTAAAATTGACATCTTCTGTTGTCAGTTTAGTGAAACAATGTTACTCTTTTTGTTACAATGACATCATGTTATTTCGTATTTTACATGAAAATAAGCATTAATTTAGGCGTAATATTCATACTCAAATAATAAGTTGAGGAAAATAACGTAAATTAACAATTCATCAATCAGTCCTTAATGTAAATCATGAGTACTTTTGCTTGTACTGATTTAATTAAAAAAAAATTGTCAACAACCACTTTTTTATGCTCCAAAAAGCAATCTGCAATCTTTGACATAAGGTATTTCTTATTTCTTAGAAATGGCAACGTATGAGAAATATCAGAATCACCAATATCATCATTTCGTTGTTCACTACCGACCTTAGATCATTACTGTAGAGAAATGTGGAACAGTTCTGAGCAGTCTGCGTTTATTCACTTGTAAGATTTGAGGACGTCACTCTATCTAGAGGAAGGTGAGCTTACAATTACCTATACTGGCATCATCCTTACCATTGTCATAGTATTATCTGTCCAGTGCTAAACAGAGGCCTCCCCCATTGACTGTCATAAGGAGCAGTCCTGAGTCTCTTACATCCAATGACTCCTATAATATCTGTCTTTTCTGGAGTGCCATTCGACAACCTTCCTTTCCCAATACTTAAATTTTAGTAGAATTTATATGTATTGTATATATACGGTTCCGAATTGTAACAGTTATCACATAACATACACAAAAGTAACTCTGCAAAATCAAAAACTTGTTAAAATCTGATAAATAAATTATTTTTATCAATATCTCTATATGTTTTACTATTTGTATCTCGTGGATTCACTCGTAGTCGTATTTTGATATTGAATCTTTTATAATCTTCTTCTAGGAATATACTTTTAAATGCAAAAAGACTTTTTTTAAATCAAATTGGTAATTTTAGAGATAAGCACGTCCAGACAAACAGACTCTCCCGCTTCATTATATTAGAATAGATGTAACACAAAGTTTTGTCTAATTCGAAACTAATTTTGATTATTTTTTTTTTGTAATCAATGGGGTTTACTCCTATATTAAAAGAAGAAGTTGTTTTGTTTTTGAAGAGGAAAATCATCATTTATCATAACAATTATCTTTTTAAATGTATAGTCTATGATAATTTCGAGCCATGATTACAAAATAGATCATAGATACACTGTCACAACCCATCTGTATACGATAATTGTCACATAATCCTTGGTAAATTCTCATAATATCATAACCGTTAAGGTCAAAAAAAGAACGTAATATTTAAGTAAAATTTCTATAAAGTAACTGAAATTTAGAGGTCTTTACACCTGTCTCATTGGTTTATTTAATAGGTCGAATGATGCAAGGTTTGCTAAAAGTTTGTCGAGTGTCCGATGAAGCGGACGTGCGAGTAGTGTGTAACTTATCTATTTTTGTGGTGGTTTTACTAGTATCAGTGTGTTAGTTTGTAAAGGTAGGTAATACGTCATATTAGAATGAATTTGATGAT